GGGGGGGAAGGAAAAAGGGAAGAACAGACAGAAAAAGAGGATACAAAATGGACCAAGAAGAAGACTGGCAGTGTGTCTGCTTCTCCTCACAGCTGTGTTCTCTCTATGGTTTAACTCTGAGTGCTTAGAGAGACCCACGTTGCTCTTCCAGACATGAGAAGAGCAGTCAGTGCTTTGTGAACAGCTCCCCCAACGTATAGACTCAAAGACATTGTGGATATGCCTGGAAGCTTTGCCAGGATAGTCAGTGGCTGCGACAGCAGGTGGTCGATGCAGATCTGAGCAACAGTAGGCTGGGGTCCCCGAGAGGATGTCCTGGGACACCTTCTGTGGAAGTCAGAGTAACCACGCTCATTTCTAGCACTGGCTTTATCAGTATTTTCCTGAAAACATTGCCTCTCCTCCCTGGAGTATGGTCTCTTCATCTATAAATTCAGCTACTGCAGTAGGGTTGGGTGAGACATGGTTAAACTGAAGGTGGCAGGGGGAGGCGGTGGGAGCCCTGCTTACCTGCTTCCACCTTCACCCTGATCTACATTGGTCTCTCCCTATTTCCTCTTGTAACACTTAATAACAGTCTACAAAACTAATTTCCCACAGACCACTTTGGGAAGATTTGCTCTCATTCAGGAACTGGCAAACATCTCCTGAAAAGAACCAGATAGTAAATATTTGTGGTTTTGTGGGTGCAGTTGATGAACAGGTGTGGTAGTGTTCCAATACAACTTTACTGACAAAAATAGGCAAGGTCACAGTTTGGTTTGAAGGTCATAATTTCCAACCTCTGAACTTCAACTGTCATTTGAAAGAGAGAAAACAGGACTAGAAAGAACATGGAGTTGGTCAAACATTCATGGCTCTGGGTAGAGTTGGGATGAGCCTCTCACCCTGCTGGCTCATATTCCTGGTTCTTTCCGCTCCACCCGGCACCTATTTTGACTGCAAGAGAGAAGCTCCTTCTTCACTGGCAAGCATTGGGGAGAATCAATTCCATTATTGCATTTGGTCTAACGGCAATCCTATTATATAGATTGGCCTCATTATTCATGTTCAAAACTAGAGAAACAAAGGCATCAGAGACTTTCCCCAGACAAATTAGGGCTAATTCTGGTAATAAGCGAAAGACATATTATTTCAGTTCCATTAACTCACCAGCAGACTGTATTACCTTCTATCCAAGGCACAGTGAAAACCAGTGATGACAATGCCGATAGCAGGAGATGAAATGCATTCAATCCTTCGTTTGGCCAACGCTAACTGAATACACACTGAGGGGCTTGCCTTGTGCTCAGTACCGTAAATGCACTGTGCCCACAGGAATCCCTGCTCAATTCAGAGGGAGAGCCTACGTGTGTTACAGTGCTGTCCCCTGGAGATGTCGCTTTCCTGTTCTCTGCCCACTGCCTGCAGGCTATATCTGAAGACATGCAGGAGGCCCGGGAGGATGGTTTCAATTGAGAGTCTTTTCCTCAAGATAAAGATGCTTTCCCATCAACTTTCTCAGTTGGTTTCATGATTCTCCCATCAATTGGCTTCATGGTTCTCCAAGGGCTAAATGTTGTCCCGGTGAAGTGTGTATAAACCTGTCATTTCCTTTCTCACTTATTTTTCCAGACAGGTTTCCAATAAGACCCATGGCTGCATCCTTGGGCATTCCATGTGTTTCTAAAACCTTTCAGCACTAGGGAAGCTGACCTCAAGTCTTTGATCACTGGCTAATCTAGATTGTTGCCGGCAGATTCCATTCACTCCTAGTAGCCGACAGGGTGTAGCTGTACTCAGAGCCTCTCAGAGCATGCTTCTGAGGGTTCCAGCCTGTATTTCAGAAGCAGAGCACTGAGATCTTGAAATTGCATTCTGCTGCTTTTTAACTGTGTGAACTTGGGCTGGTGACTTAGCTCCCTCTGTGTTTCAAGACACTTATTCCTTAAGTGGGGATTATTATGGAGCTGTTGTGAGAATCAAATGAGATAATGCATGGGAAATCAATCATAAACCAGAAAGCATGACTCATATACTACATGTTAGAGCCCCACTTTCTAAACTCACACTTGCTGCTACACTAGTGTTTGTAAAGTACAGATCCAATTATGGACTACAGCAGAATCACCTGGAAAGGCTGTAAAACAATTTCTAGACCCCTTCCAGACCTACTAAAGGTGGATTCTGGAATTCTATTGTTTTAAAAATGCCCTCAAGGTGATTCTAAAGGAAATCAGGTGTGGCAGCACTGCCTTAATATATCCATGACTGTCTCTAGAACCATGTGGGGGCTCTAGAACCAATGGACTTGTGTGTGATGGTCTTGTCTCTCAAGGTGGGCTTATGGCTTTCAGGGTCCTTGTGCTGTATCTGGGAAATCTCTACAGCCTGATCATTGCTCTCCTGGACAAAGTTAATAGCATGAGCATTGAGGTGAGTGCCCATGCCAGATGGCTGCCTGCCCCACCTCTGCCCTCCCTGCTACCTCCTCCTGACACCAGGGTCATCATCGTGGACAGATCACTGCTTATACTTACAACAACTCTCGCTTTGTTGCCTAGGCTGGAGTGCAGTGGCACAATCACGGCTCACTGCAGCCTCAACCTCCCTGAGCTCAAGTGATACTCCCATCTCAGCCTTCAGAATATCTGGGACTACAGTCCCATACCACTGCGTCTGGCTAATTTTATGTATTTTTTTGTAGAGACGGGGTTTCACCATGTTGCTCAGGCTGGTCTCAAACTCCTGGGCTCAAGCGATTTCCCTGCCTCAGCCTCCCAAAGTGCTGGGATTACAGGTGTGAGCCATCACACCCAGCCTTGTGTCCACTTTCAACCTGCCCCACCTATAAGGATATCCTGAATGGTGGAGGAAAGGGAGGAAGAAACAAGGTGCTCTTAGGTTGTTTGCCCAAGGCATACTACATCAACATCAAATTTCAAGGCCTATAGACAGACAAGGCCACAGAGAGTCATTTTTCTGCATTGGAGCTTTGAGGTTATATAGACCTGGGTCCTTACCTGACACTTACTCGACTTCAAATCACTGAGTTTCAATCTTCTCATTTGAACATGCGGTAATAATCCTTATCTGAAGCTCTTGTGAGGATAAGTAGAGTTAACATGTGTTGCCTAAAACAGTTTCTGACCCTTACTAGGAACAAATAAGTACTATGCATTATACCTCTGAGTTCCCTTCTTGGGGTCAACTCTAGTCAAGTGGCAAGACAGACAGAGAGAGAGAGAGAGAGAGAGAGAGGGAGAGAGAGAGAGAATGGTTACTCCATGATGGATTCTCATTTATAAATATGTGGACCAACTTTTTTCTTTTTCCCCTCCTTCACTCCCTCCCTCTCTCCCCAGGAAATGGCTCCCAAAAATAACACAAGTCATTGGATAGATTCCACCACCTTCTTTGCAACCAGGACAGCCCCTGAAGAAGGGAAATGGTCCACACCTCAGCCTGGAATGGAGCTCAGGAGAAACAGCACATGGGCCTTGGAAGAGACCAGCATTTCTGCCTATACCACGCCTCTTGCAAAGGCCAACAGGACCACTCTCTACACTCAGAACCCACAAGACCAGTGCTGGGAGACCTACGTCGGTCAGGTGATTCCCTTTACCCTTACAAAGCTCCCTCACATCCATCTCATCACCTAACCCCAGCAACTCTCTGAGCTGTCACTGCCTCTATTTTACAGAAAAAGAAAAGTTCAGTGAGGTTTAAGATTTTCTAAGTCTCAAAATTAAAAAAGAAAAATAATCAGTGCAAAGATTCAGGCAGTATTTACCACATGTTGGGGCCTGTGCTAAATGCTTGGTTCTTGTGAGTCCTATTACTGTCACCCTCATAGGCACAGATGAGGAAACTGAGGCACAAGTGGTCAAGTACTTGCCCAAGGACACAGACAGTAAAGAGCAGAATGCTGAACCCAGGCATCTGCTCCAAAATCTGTACCCTTAACCATGTTGTACAGAGAATCTCAACCCCAAGGTATTATCCCATGGAAATGAGTCACCGTCTACAAGTCTCCTGTAGCTCAGAACCACAGAGCTTAGATTCTTTCCTAGCTTCATGTGATGCTGGCGTCAGATACCAAACTTCAAAACTGAATCACCTAATATTTATTGAGCACCCATTATTTACCAGAAGCCCATCCCTCTGCCCACTGCACCTTATAAAGATGAGAAATGAAGATGCCATCGGAGGGGCCCACTGGCTGGGGCCCACAGCAATGAACAGAGATTAGGAGGACCTGAAGGAAGAGTGGCCGTGGGAGGGGTGGGTGTGGTGGCATCCAGGGACACCCTGTGTTTCAGGAGATGCTGAAGCTCTCCATCATTGACATGCTCTTCACCGTGGCAAGCATTCTGCTCATAGACTTCTTCCGAGGACTTTTCGTCCGGTATTTAAGTGACTGCTGGTGTTGGGATCTGGAAAGCAAGTTTGTAAGTAAAATGCTGTGTCTGTTGGGAAAGTTTATATGGCCAAATCCATCCTTTCTCATGCTGAGGCTGGGAAACAGTCCAGCATAGCTGAGGGGGACACTTGGGGTGAGAATACATGTGGGAAGAGGAGACGGGTACAGAAAGCTAAGCTTCTACTTCCTTGTTCTTTTTTTTTAGAGACAGGGTCTTGCTCTGCTACCCAGGCTGGAGTGCAGTGGTATGACCTTGGCTCACTGCAGCCTCAAAACTCCTGGGCTCAAGCAATCCTCCTGCCTTGGCCTCTCGAGTAGCTGGGACTATAGGCACATGCCACCACACCCAGCTAGTTTTAAAATTTTTTTGTAGAGAGGGGGGTCTCACTATGTTGCCCAGGCTGGCCTCAAACTCCTGACTTCTAGTGTTCCTCCTGCCTCACCACCCCCCAGAGTGCTGGGATTACAGGCATAAACTACCACACCCAGCCTCACCTGCTTCTTAACATTTACCATTTGCTGGGATGGCCCCACAAGCACTGATCTCTAAGTGCTCATAAGAGCCAAGAAGTCTATCTATGTGACTGTAATGAATTGGTTCATGCAAAGAACTTTGGAACTTGTTTAATGTACAAGTTTATTTTCTCTTGTAGCCTGAATATGGAGAATTCAAAATAGCTGAGAATGTGTTACATTTAGTCTACAACCAAGGAATGATTTGGTAGGTATCAAAGTTTCTTCTTGCCTTTCCTTACATCTCATCTGGGCTACGATTTTAATTTACTTAGTCTGGATGGGACACGACCATAATAAACACAGTTATAAGCATTAAGAAAGGGTGTTTCCAAGAGAACTATTTCACATGTATATTAAATGTATTAGTGGTTTTCTAAGAATTTTACAGGAAGAAATTAAAAAGAAAATAGTCCATGTTTAAGTTACTATTGGTCATAGCCAAAAAAACATCTGCATAGAAACCAGCAGAATACACTTGTAAGGAGAACTGGGGGAAGGCTGAGAGGAGAGGCTGCTTCTCCTTAGTAAGGACTTCAGGAGTGGCTGCTGGGGACCTTGGCCAATCTGCCCTTGCTCGCCACCCTCCCTCCATGTTCCTCCTAATTTTCACTTAGACACAGGGCCCACGAGCACAGCCATCCCCCAGACTGCAGACCCCTGCCTGGGGAGGCGGGAAGCTGGGAAGTCTGGTTACCCATGGCACCTCCCAGGCCATGGCAATTCGGTACCCGGAGACACTGAGGAGCTGGAGGGGTCCTCCCATCCCACCCACACATAGGTGTGTGTCTGTGGGCTGCAATAGAGAGCTCCTTAAATGACACCGCTATCTCTGGTTTCACCTGTTGGACCAGAAATAGCGTGATTTGTTAAAATACAAGCATCATGTCATTGATTTCCCCAGATCAGCCCTTCTTGTCTATCAATTGGATATTTACCTCTCCTTTCGCTATTGCAGAAGAGTGAACAAACTGAAATGTGTGAGGCTGCTTAGTGCCCTAACCAGCAAAAGTCGGTGCTCAATATATGTTGATTAAACATGAAAGTCAGTAATTTATTAATACAGTCCTCATCATCAGCAAGAAAAACCAGGAGCTAGCTCCAAACAGTAGTCATCCATTATTTGTCTCCTTCCCAAAGGAGGATTTTCCTTTGCTAAAGCGTTAAAAGAGAGACAAATGCTTAGTTGTCCTTTGCAAAGAGAATATTTTAAAATGGGATCAATATCCTTCAAGTCACGTTGAGTGACTTGTTTTATCTTTAGAAGGTGGAGGGGTTGTGGTCTCGGGACTTTAGGGGCATTTCCAATTCTTTAAGCATAGGGTGTAAACCCCAGTCTCAGAACCAGGTTCCTGCATGACGCTTCCATAGTCCTGGAAGATAGGCTGGGAGAGAACAGATGCACACTGACCTTCCTCATGGTTCCAGGATGGGGGCCTTCTTCTCCCCATGTCTCCCAGCATTCAACGTTCTCAAACTCATTGGGCTCATGTACCTGAGGAGCTGGGCTGTGCTGACCTGCAATGTGCCCCACCAGCAAGTATTTCGAGCCTCCAGGTGGGTAAGAATAAGATCTGATCATGCAGATAACTATCTCATCCACGCCTGCCTTACCCAGGGGTCCTCCACCAAGGGGTTCCCCCAACTCTCTTCCTGTCAAAATCCTGCCTGTCCTCCAATTTTATCTCCTCCAAGAGCCATTTCCAATGCCTTACTCTTTCAATGAATCATTACTCCTCTTGAATTCATGACACAGTTTTTAAAAACTTGTTGCTGAAGTTTAATAATCCTTTTAGAAAAAGTGCACAAATCATAAATGCTTAGCTTGCTGAGTTTTCACAAACTGAACACAAGGAAGTCACATCAAAAAACAAAACACAAGTGGTACCCAGAGCACACCCACTTGCATGGGATTCCAATCTCTGCCAACCTCTAATGGCATCATTAGGCTTGCCTGGCTTGTACTTGGTATAAACATAATCACACATGGTATGTGTTCTTTTGTGCCCAGCTGCTTCCACTCGACACTGTGTTTGTGAGATTCACCTTACTGAGGAAATACAGATCAATGTCTTTATCCTGGCTACTACTGACGGGCATCTAAGCTGCTTCCAGCTGTTAGCCTCATGAGTAATACTGCCTTGAACATCCTTCACAGGGCATGCGTATGTTCACCCTTACAAAATAGTGCCAAAAAGTTTTCTAAAATGATCACCCCATTTTACATGTCTGGTGGCATTATTTCCCAACACTTATTCTTTTATCTGTTTTAATTTTAGCCATTTGGTGAATTCATTACACACTCTAAATACTTTGCTGATTCAGTTATTTTACATTGACATAAATAGTTACATGTGTCCAAATCAGTGGCTTTCAAACTTTTTGCTGATGACGTACTTGACAATGCATTCACTTTTCATTTTTTAGATAGAGTCTCACTCTGTCGCCAGGCTGGAGGGCAGTGGTATAATCTCGGCTCACTGCAACCTCTGACTCCCTGGTTCAAGCGATTCTCCTGCCTCAGCCTCCTGAGTAGTTGGGATTACAGGCATTTGCCACCACACCCAGCTAATTTTTATATTTTTAGTAGAGATGGGATTTCACCATGTTGGCCAGGATGGTCTCAATCTCCTGACCTTGCGATCTGCCCTCCTCAGCCTCCCAAAGGGCTGGGATTACAGGTGTGAGCCACCGCTCCCAGCCTGCATTCACATTTTAGCTGGTAACTAGTACACATATATGCATACATTCAGAGATACATGTTTTGATATATTTATATATGTTGTATTTATGTGTATGTATATATATTATATGTGTGCATGTGTGTCTGTGGATAGAGAAAGGTTTCACAACTTATCACTCACTTTCTTACTACATTCTGTGCTCTCTGAAATTTTCTATTCTTTTCTAGTGAAGTCTTTTTTATGAGAGAGAGAGAGAGAGAGAGAGAGACAGAGACACAGAGAGAGAGAGACAGCAGAGAGAGAGAGAGAGAGAGAGACCAACAGAGAGTACTAGTTGAAAGTAACGACACTAATTGACCCCTCATTCTCTTTTCTGAACTGTGTACAGGGCCTTGCACACCAAACAGGTTTAAGCCCCCCTCAGAGGAGCCCTGGGCAGCCAAGCTCCCTGACACCAGCTTAGGGCTCAGGGACAGGGACCAGGGCTTAATCAGGCAGCACACATACCCTGTGCAGACACGTGCAGAACAGATAAGAGGCTGAGTGCTGCCAGGCGCGGTGGCTCAAGCCTGTAATCCCAGCACTTTGGGAGGCCGAGGCGGGTGGATCACGAGGTCAAGAGATCGAGACCATACTGGTCAACATGGTGAAACCCCGTCTCTACTAAAAATACAAAACGTTAGCTGGGCATGGTGGCACGTGCCTGTAGTCCCAGCTACTCAGGAGGTTGAGGCAGGAGAATTGCCTGAACCCAGGAGGCGGAGGCTGCGGTGAGCCGAGATCGCGCCATTGCACTCCAGCCTGGGTAACAAGAGTGAAACTCCGCCTCAAAAAAAAAAAAAAAAAAAGAGAGGCTGAGTGCAAATCACACCCAAGTGAGAGAACCAGGAATCACAAACAAAAGAGCCAAACAATCCTGAGACGTAAGAGACAAGTTCAAGGCTGGGAACAGGAGAGGGAACCATTAGGTAAGGACCCGGATGGGTGAGCAATGCTTTTAAGGTTTTTCCATAAATTGAGTTTACTGGGTGGAACTCCTGGGTGCCAGAGTGAGTTCACCACTTTCATGGTTTGAGCTAAACAGGTGCTCAGCAAATGTTTATCAGACAAACTGGTTGGGCAGGGGATCTCTGAAGTTCCTCTGAACACTGATTTCTAGGTTCCTAGGCTGCATGTGACCGTACGACAGATTCATTGGTAGGTAGCCCTGAGAGGAGGATTTTTTAGTTTGCAAAGAGTCAGGGCAACCATTTCTGTGGCAGCTCTTTGGGCATATACAACCCTGGCAGCTGGCTATGGAGTGAACTTAACACATGGCATTCGATTTATCTGCAGATCCAACAATTTCTACTTGGCAATGCTCCTGTTTATGCTGTTTCTGTGCATGCTGCCAACCATTTTTGCTATTGTCCGATACAAGCCATCTCTAAACTGTGGTCCATTCAGGTAAATTATTTTCTTTCCTGGCTCTGCCCAGAGCGACTGAATGCTGTAGGGAAATAAATTGTATTGAACTGAATTCTCCTCCCGGCTCGCAGAGCAGGTAAACAGGATGGAAAGATTGCAAACCTGCATGTTTTAAATTCAAGACCAGTGTTCTTTCCTTAACACCAGGCTGCCCTTAGTATAACCATCTCTGTGCTCATGTTAAAAAATACAACCCTTTTAAAGTGAGAAGAGGCATTCTATCTGGTCAAAACAGAAAAGCTGTTATTAAAACACAGTGCACAGCACTTTTTTTCTATATTATCCAGCTGTTTCCCAGCAAAACCCTCTAGTATCTTCATCTAGCATTCAAGTCAGCGTTGACACAACATGTATGTAACATTTAGCCTATCTTAGTGCACACTATTACAACACACACTCACACGCAATGTGACGAATGACCCCATCTTCCATCCTCCATATTAATTGGCTATGAAATCATTTGAGGAATGTTATGAAGTGGCCTCTAGGCATCCAGCCATTTTTTGATGTCTTGCAGCGTCTTTCTGCCAAGAGCAATAAAATCTGGAGTTATGTTTTTCTTTCTCACAGTGGACAAGAGAAAATTTATGACATTGTGTCAGAAACGATTGAGAAAGACTTTCCAGCATGGTTTGGCTCCGTGATGGGGCACATCAGTAGCCCCGTGGTCATCCTGCCCGCGGTACTCCTGCTTTTGTGAGTACCACACCTGCCAGCCTTGGAGGGACTTCTGGGTGTTTGGCCAACAAGGGAACACTGCTTTCCAATAATTTTATAAAATGTAATAGTTCGTTCAAAAATCACTTAGGCTTAGAGCCTGATGATCAAACAGAGACTCTGAGTCACACACCAGAGTCACACGAGGCACTGTGCCGTGGAGACACAGCCACTGGGTCTCAGCGAGGGGCGAGAAGGGAACACTTCATCGCCATCCAGGTGGTTATGGATCCATCAACAGCATTCGGTCAATGACTGTGATCACTAGAATGGGGCTGAATGCCATTATTATCATCATCTCATTCTCCAGAAACTTAAATAATCCTGGAAAGGAATTTCACAACTCAGCTAAGTATCTTTGGCTTGTTTTGGTTTAAAGGAAAAAAAGTAGTGGGTGGATCCTGTACTCATAGCTTGATAGATGGCAAAATTTCTCCCCCATTTTCAGGTCTTCCTTATTGCTCTCACCAGTGCAGAATTCCAGGTCAATGAGGGTGCTGTGGAAAGCCAGGAAAAGAAAACAAAAGCAGCCCCTTCCCAGGGCTCAGCGGCTTGAGAATTTGCTGATGTATTTTATCCTTAGTGGAGGGTCAATGGGTAACCCGCCTCTGGCCTGGGAGCCTCTTATTCCTGCCAACGCCCTGCAGGGAATGTGGTCTGAAAGGTGGAAAGGCGAGTTGCAGTCCACTCACTCTCCTGTGTTGTTTTGTCCTAGCATGCTCATCTATTATCTCCAGAGCATCGCACGTTCTCTAAAGCTCAGCAACCACCAGCTCAAAATGCAGATCCAAAACGCAAGTATTCCACGACCTTTGCTATTCTGAATGTGTGTCAACCACGTGACTGAGATCTCGCCACCATGGGGATACAAGTGAGGTCACATCTTCAAGGTTCTATGACTCTTGGCCACCCCCTGGTGCAAGGCCACCAATCCCCAGATGCCTAAGGGTTATTTCTGAGAATACCCAAGGATGAATCACCTTTGCTAGGAAGAAGCCTGCTTCTGTTTTTCCTCCTCCTCAAGCGGCTTTGCTGCTGCCTCAAGCCCTTCAGTGTCCCTCCCATGACCACACCAAGCCCTCAGTGTGCTGCCGCTTCTGTGAGTTCTGGCAAACTGCCAAGGGAGAGAAAGAGTCCCTTCCCAATCCTTGTCAACTTGGGCATCTAAGTCCAGCAGCACTGTTTGTCCCTAAAGCCTCAGCCCTTTCATATCCTTTAGATATGGCTGTCACTACCTTCTCTCTCCGTGGGGCTCAAACCCTATCTCCCAGAGCAGTCCGAGGGAGACATACACTCCCAACACTTCCGTAATTTCTCTCCTCCACATACCCCAGGTGCTCCCTTAGTGCCCTGAGTCCTCCAGACCCCCGGGAAGGGTCCCAGGACGGTGATGAGAACAGTGAGGCTCCCAAAGCACCACATTTAAGGAGGCTCTGTTAGCATCATGCTGACCCTGTCCTTTCTCAACCCTGAAAATAAGTGCCTCCTTAAATTTGGCACCCTAGATGCCTCACTGACCTCACCCCTGCAAAAAAAACTCCTTCCACTTCTATCATTTAAAAAAAAAAAAAAAACTCCCATGAATATCAATTCATGCAAAGAAACACAAATTAGCTTCTAATTCAAAATTCATTTGGATTTACAATGGCCATTTTGGTGGAAAAACACATCTCCAGTGTTGTTGATCTATATTTTTTTCTTTGTGATTCAGACAAACTATTATAGGCAGAATCTAAACATGGTCTATTAGCTGTCCCTAAATAAAACTGGCTAGGCACAAAACTTCAGCTTTTAGGTATTTACATTTATTCCTTCAAATAACAGGCCCAAGCCCAGAGCACACTGTCCATAGGAGCTATAGCAGTCCAGTCATGGCCCAAGGTAAGAGCTAGGGCATATAAAAACATTAGCTGGGTGTAGTGGTATACACCTGTGGTCCCAGCTACTCAGGAGGCTGAGTCAGGAGAATTGCTTGAACCCAGGAGGCAGAGGTTACGGTGAGCTGTGATCACGCCACTGCACTCCAGTCTGGGTGACAGAGCGAGACTCTGTCTTAAAAAAAGACCTAGGGCATGTAAATCTTTTTTTCCCCAGGAATATTTGTTACTGCTTCCTGCTAAATCCAAAACAAACATGCATGTCATTTGCATTTTAGGCAAGATCAGAGGATAAGAAAAAGGTTGCCCAGATGGTAGAAGGTAAGTATTTTTTTAAAATGCAGAGATCTGATGTTTCAGTTAGTGGGCATTTAAAAATATAGTCATTTAAGATAGTTTGCGGCACACTACCAATAAAAATTCCCGATAACCTGTGGTTTAAGCAATAAAATAAAATAAAATCTAGGGATATAAATGTTGCTTTAAATCTTCAATTTTTATATCATATGCAGGCCCATTAATAATTCCAAAACATGTGTAAAATCAGAAGGAAGTGTTGAAAGAGGAGAGGAAAAGCAGAACATTCATGTGGATGGAAGCCCAAAGAATCTCTTTGCCTGGTTCACTTTTGTGTACTTCTTCTCTGTGGCCCATCTCTTGCTTGCAATGTTCGCTCCCAGGTCCCTTCCCTGAGGTCTGGCCTCCTTAGGTTCTGTCCTGTCCCTGCGAAGCAGGGAGAATGGAAGCATGCAGTGTGGAAGTCTGGGATGGCTCAAAGGGAAGAAAGTGGCAAGGGGAGCTCGAAGGAGATGGATCTGTTTCTCGGGAGCATTAACAGAGTGCTGTGAGCCAGAAGGCTCACTGGGCACCATTAAAACAGCACAGCCTACAGAAATGAGAATGGGACCCAAAAGGGCTCTAGGGGCCAGCTCTCACAGCTGTTGTAACACTTCACTAATTGGAATGGACCGATTCCTCTCCAGAAAAATGCCTGAGCAAGAGCCCTAAGGCCTAAGGATTATGCTTGCTTGCTCCACCAGCTTTTCAGAGAGGGCCTATAATTGATAATTATTACTGAAAGTAGTTGTGGCTCATGCCATAAAGCGCCTCTGTAATTGTCATCGCTTATTTGCCAATTAAGCATAATTAAACTTAGTTCAGGTCACCTTCAAAAGCCAGATCTGCATAGACTGTCTCAGAATAACAATAGCATTGCCCAATGTTCATTTTCCAGCTCAAGACCACATCTTTTTTCAAAATGCATGTGAACCATTTCCAAAGAATCATAATTGTGTGTAAGCTTTATTATCCTCATTGAATAGATAAGAAACTGGAGGCCCAAAGCTTTTAAGTACTTGCTTTGCCTCATGGGAAATCAGATGGAGCACTGTAAAGACATGTGTTCACTTGATTCCTCTTACACACCCAGCTCCAACTTTCAGGGATGAAATCATTTGAATTACAGAATATTTGTTGCCCACTGGTGAGGTGTATTTGTACATGCACTCAATCGTTTGCAGACCAACTCTTGGAAATCATAAAACTCTTGCAACTCAACCCACCTGACTTCTCACAAGTCCTCTCTCTCCCTGCAGCCCGGATCCAGACTCAGGAAGAAAGCACCAAGAAGCTTCCAAACGACAGTGATCTTACCAGCCAACTGTCCTCAGCGCACTCGGGCACACCCCAAAATAATGGCAACATGGTCCATTTCGACTCAGAAAGCAGCAAGAGTGGCAGGATAGAGACAGTTGCGCAGTCCATGCCCCAGAGCCCCAGGTCAGGGAACAGGGCTTCCAGCTCACCTCTCCCTGGGTTCTCCAAACCCAGGCTAGAGCATGAAACTAACAGGTGAGGCTCCACTGCAACACAGAAGAAACCCTTGAATGTGAGTCATGTGAAGGCCTCAACAGCTTCAGGAGGCCAACGCCATTAAATTCTAATTCTTCCAAAAGGCATGGGGTCAGGAGACTGTGACAGCTGGTACTGAGAAGAAATGGAGGTGGGGTGGGGGTGTCAGTTTGTCTAACAGGACAAATTCTTCCTCCTGGGCTATCTGCCACTTAACCTGTAAGCAAACCTTCCAGCCAACCTAGGATAAACATTTTTCTAGCCTAAGAAAATAACTATTTATTTTTTAGTTCCACACTGGCCACGTTATTGGCAATATCTTGCATATTTTAGCTGTAGTCTGGTCAAGTTATTGGCATGACCATTTATGCATGACATGGGGTCAAAGAAAGCAGTAGATCCCTGCTTAAAGGAGGTAGGACCCCTGGAAAGATGAAGGGGATAGACCTGTACTGGCCCAAACTCATATGGAAAATTATATTTGATCTGAATGTAGTACAGTGAAAGCAATATAGGTAAAATACAGGGGCTCTCATGTTTTTAAGCTAATGACTAAGTTAGCAAAGAACTTGAAGTCTTGTTATATGAGGAGTTGTCTGCATGTCTCTGTGGGGTCTTGACAGGGAGGGAGGATCCAAACACTCCTTGGGAGGCCGCTGGGGGGTCAAACCAGAGCCACCATACAGATTCAAGTCTTTATCAGGAAGAACTTTTTTTTTTTTTTTTGAGACGGAGTTTTCTCTTGTTGCCCAGGCTGGAGTGCAATGGCACGATCTTGGCTCACTGCAACCTCCGCCTCCTGGGTTCAGGCAATTCTCCTGCCTCAGCCTCCTGAGTAGCCGGGATTATAAGCACCCGCTGTATTTTTAGTAGACACAGGCTTTTACCATGTTGGCCAGGCTGGTCTTGAACTCCTGACCTCAGGTGATCCACCTGACTTGGCCTCCCAAAATGCTGGGATTACAAGCTTGAGCCACTGCACCTGGCCAGGGAACAACTGTTTAATATGTGTAACTCCCCTCTACCCACCAGTGGAAACTCAGAGAAGTGCTCAAGAAGCCAGACAGCTGTTTAGCAGAGAGGACGAGAAACTATGTTCCTAACATGTGCTTCACCGACACTAGTCCCACTCTGGGCCTCTTGACACAAAGAAGACTCCGTGATGAAATACACTAACACAGCACCCCTCACTCTGCACTTTCCATGGAGACTCATGATGCACATCACTGATTTAGGGTGCTGAAAATTCCAGCGGTAAAGCACACTGGTTAGCCCAGTCCCCCAAAAGGCTCTGTGCACACAATCCACAGAATACCCATTAATCATTTGGAACCAGGCTCAGTGAAAATGCTCAGGGAACCACTCACAGCTCACAGTGGTCAGGTGTGGGGCTCTGAGACCACCAAGACCACAGCACTTAGCGGCCTCTGTGTTACAGGTATCCGCATGGTCTCTGTTCGAGCACCAGCGATCTTCACAAGAACAGATCGCGCATACCCACGACGTTTACAAAGCACATCGAAGATGTGCACTCAGAACCTCTCTTCCGAAAAGACTTTCAGCAAATCAAACCTCCTCACCGTGGACCAGGGGCCTCAACTTTGGTGGCACAGGGTCCCAGGCCCCACGCCCTCAGATACTATGTCATTAACGAACGTGACTCTTACAAAAGAAAACATCCACATGTCTGGCCAGAAAGACATTTCAAGATAGATGCTTCAGGTGACATTGTGGAGCTGTATCCCAGGAATGTGCGACAATATGCATCCCGGGTTCCCCGCCAGCCTCGCTCCCCACAGCTGAGTGAAGAGGAGGAGGAGACGCCGAGGAGGGAGTGGATCAAACGGTCTCTTCCCCCATGCTCCCTGACGGACCTCCGTGGGGCTCCTCATTTTTATATTGGGGAGAGGTCCGAAAGTCAGACCCTGGCTCCCGAGCACCAGGGGAGGGTGCACTACAAGCCGTGGAAAGACGATTTTGAGGGTCACCTTGACAGGCCGACCTATGTGCCCAAAAAGCCACGCTGGCGGAATTTCCAATACCCACACCCCCCTCTGAAGCCCAGAGGGAAGCTCAGGTTCGAGCCATCCCTCACGGAATCTGACTCCGTGTCGGCGGCATCCAGCAGTGACCAGCAGAACAGCGGCGCTGACCAGTACCTGCAGGTCACCCACAGCCAGCGCAGGTTCCCGAGGTCGGGGGGCCAGCCCGGCAGGAGGAAGGCCACGTCGAGGCAGGAGCTGACCATGGATCTGGACGACTTGATTTGTTCAAACGTCTAAGCTGCCTCCAGGGTCCGCTTCGCAGAGGTCAGGCCCCTGTGGGAGTGCTGGGCCAGCACATGGCATCTCCCTTGCTGGAAAAAGAGGTGAACACGTGTTAGAGACCCGAGGGGCACGGCCGCAGCTGCTGGCTGAGGTCCTGAGGCTGACGGCTGCAGCCACCTAGTCCGCGGCTACCATTAGCTCAATCTATCCAAGTTAGGCGGCACCAAAGTGTGTTACCAGCAGCGAATCATCAGGGTCTGCAGCTACCTCAGTCCTCGCCTCCTCAGAAGAAAGAAGTTGGCAGAGGAGCACAAGACAGAGGACAAAACAGGAGAGACTCAGGCACGTTTTGGGGCAGGCATGCAAGTTTACTGAAAAGCTTCAGAGCAGGAATGAAAGAACGTACACTTGGGAGAGGGCCAAGCGGGCGACTTGAAAGATGGAGTGCACTGTTTGACCTTTGACTTGGGGTATTACACGCTGGCTTTGCTTCCGGGGTCTTGTGTTACGTCTTCCCTGATTCTTCCCTTGGGGTGGGCTGTCCGCATGCGCAGTAGTGGCCTGCTAGCTCTTGGGAGGGGAGCATGCGCAGTGTGCTTAGTGGAGTTGTGCACATGCTCACTCGAGGTTCTTCCCTTACCAGTGGAAGGCGCCATATTGTCTTTTAGTGCGCGTGCTTGAACCCACTCGCTCAACTCCTGAGATCTTACCAGGAAGCTGCTGATTACCAGTTTCAGGTTTTTTCTATCTATTGGGAGACGGTCGTTCTCTGGTGCCAGCTGTGACCAATTATTATTTTAGAGAGACAATTAACAGCCACCTGACCGTCACCTGATGGTCGCCTGACATTCCTGGGGGTTGTCTGCTCACGTCTAACTGGCTACCCATAGTAACATCTCCACACATGAGCAGATTGTTTCCGTGGGGCTCTTTGCATCCAGAAGCACATCAGGCCATCATTTCAATGAAACTCAGTGCTTTGCCTTCTTTTGGGTTGACCACAAATCATAGGCAAGCCAGAGATCTCATTCTGCCTCCTGAAGCCTCACCTGAGCTATCTGAATGAGATGCTTGAACTGTTCTCCTTCAACAGACAAAAGTCATCTTCTCTAATAAGCACCCCAAATTAGATGCCACCCTTAACGATATTACAATGCTTAGTTTGTAGGAATAATCAGTTTAGTAAAGACAAGAGTAACTACATTTATGGAGAACTTATTTTACTCTACTTACTGGGCAGTATGTCTGTATTAATGAGTCAGGACACTGAGATTGGAAGTAATGCATGATTTATCCGTAAGGTTTACTGGTTTGCTTAACTGGGAAAAATGAGAATCAAGCCAGCCTTAGGCCCAGCTGGAGCCAGGGCATTAGAGCACCCTCAGGAATCTGTTTTCACCTCTCTGCTCTATTTCTATGTTTGTTGACCTCATTTTCTCCTACTGCCAACAGACTTCCTCCTTGTAGTCAGTGGAGAAGGAATTCAGTCACAGAAAATGCCAGATTTACACCATCCAGCCAATAAGCCCAGAGGGAAGAACAGTGCTGTCTCTCCCGTGCCCCCTGCCACCTTCACAGTATCTTCACCTTTATGGGCATTCTGCAGGGTTTGTGTAGCAGTGTGTTCAATCCACCATGGTTAATCAGGAGCACACCCTGATTCAAACTTCCATAACTCTTTTCACTCTAAATTGTAATTGTGTCTTTTAAATATTTGTCTCCTGCACCAGATTGTGTATCTGGGGCAAGAATGGTGTTGTATTCATTCTGCATCCTCAGTAACTGACGCTTAGATATTGTATTCGTTTTCTATTACTGCATAACAAATTTAGTAGGCTTAAAAGAATGCAGACTTAGCATCAGTTTCCATGGATCAGGAGTCCAGGCCCAGATTAGGTAGGTCCTGAGCTCAGAGTCTCACCAGGCTATCATCCAGGTGTCCACCAAAGCTGGCATCCCATTATTGTTGGCAGAATTCATTTCTTTGAGGTCCTAAGACCAAAGCCCTCCACTCCTAGAGGCTGCCTGCATTTCTCTGCCACAAGGCCTTCTCCACAACATGGCTGTTTGCATCTTCAAAGCCAGAAAGAGAGTGTTCAGCTTTGAATCTCTTTCCTTCCAGAGAAGGCCTGAACCCACTTTTTAAAAGGGTCCACCTGATTAGGCCAGGCCCACCCCAATACTCTCTTTTGATTCACTCTAAGTTAACTGAGCGGAGATCTTAATTACATCTTCAAAATCACTTCACTTTTACTGTCTCTGGGAGTAAAATCTCATCATATACACAAGTCCCAGCATACTAAAGGGAAGATTATATAGGGCATGTACACCAGGGAGCAGCAATCTTGGAGGCCGACCATAGATAATAAACATCTGTTGAATGTGAATGGGTGAACAAATAAAGGAATGAACTGTCCTAATGAATCACAACTGGCTTGGTCACAGGGTTATATTCCAAGATTTATTACCAATTCTAAACAGAAAGTCCAGTATAAATACCACCATTTTAAAAGTACACACAGATTAACACCTCTCCTGAAATTTAGGAAAAGGAATGGGCATATTTTCAAATATCTTGCCATGACAAATCCAAGAGGTTGCAGTCTGCTCAAGATTCAGTGTTCCACAAGGCCATGGAAATGTGTTCTTGGGATAGAGGTGCTCATGGGAGGTTCATGATGATGGTCCTCTCTTCCAGGTGCTTGGTCTGGGACTGTGGCCTCAAGCTCCTTGGGACATTAAAACATATTTTGGAAAAGCCTGACCTTTCCTTCAGACACCTGTGGGAGCACCACTGTCTGGGTGGGAGTGGGGAGGTGCTTCTTTAGGACTGAGGACAAGCAGGTCCTGAGACATTCCTAAGAAAATTTGAGAGTTGCCAAATACACGCAGGGTTGAAAGCATGAGTATCACTTTCCAATGCACAACACAGCTCACATGCACTCTGGCACTTACTGTTGGATTAGGTCTTGAATTTAAACAAGTTTAAAAGACATAGAGCAGTGCAAAGTCTATTACTGTGACAAGCGTCAATATTCCTACTGTGAGGGTCAACAACAGTCAAGATTGAAATTTTATTTCCATTTAGTCATTTTGTTATTATTAACAGAAAATATCAGATACAGTCAAAGCCCACTCTAATCCCCACACAAAGTCTCATTCCCTTCACACTAGCAAGAGTTTGGAGTACCTCCATTGATTGATTGTTTATAGCTTTATGTATTCTGTGTGTAAGTATATATGTACAAGCATCCATAAACAATATGTAAGCACATCTTAAGTAAACACTATCATACTGCACGTATTATTGCACATATTTATGTTTTTTAGCTCTAGCAAAAAAATGTAGATCAAACTCATTCATTATAACTGTGGCACAGTATTTCATCATATGAATAAACTACATATTGATCCATTTTTTTAACTGATGGACATTGAAATCATTTCCACTTCTTTGCTGCTGAAAATAAAGTTGCACTAAACATCTTTTATATGTCTGTCTTCATGTATCTTCTTGGCACACACACGTACCAGTGCTTACTTAGAAGTGAGCATTGGTCCTCCTAAAAGAGAAATCCATAGCTCATAAGAGATGAGCATGTTTGTTTTCACTAACAGCTCCTTTATTAATCCTCACGAATCCAAATGTCTGTGCACACTTCCTCCAGATTATGCCGGGGCTATTTCCTTATAGCCTCACCAATGCCTTATAGCGTCACGCTATATCATTTTTGCCAATCTAATGAAAAAATTATACCCGCTTAATTAACTTGCATTTGTGATTATCATCTCTCCCTAAGTCAACTGGTCATTTGCATTTCCTCTTCTGTGAACCGATTGCCTATTCAACACCTTTGCTCATTTTTCTACAGACATCAACAACCATGGCTGTGAAAAGGAGCTCATAAAGCTCCCGACAAAAGCACCACATGCTAATCAGTTATCCCTTTCCCTTCCCTGAACTCTAGCTGTTGTCTAATTTGCAGTAACAGAAAGCTACAAACCTGTGAAAATGCCTTTGCATAGCTGTGGTTTCACAACATTGCTTTGTATTTTAGTAACAGTCCATGGGGGTGTACATTTCTGCCTTTGGTCAAACTATTATTGAGGACATGATCCACAGCATTATTAAAATCTCTCCTAACAACACCTACATAACAAGCTCCTCTCAAGTCTCAGAGATCAGACTGTTGTATCCATTAAAGAGTGAATTCCTTTTGAGGAGAGTAGCTCGGTAAATATCTTAGCAACCTCAGGATGCTTCCTTTAGTCACTCCCTTTGTCTCAGAATTCATGAGTGTCAGGAAATTTAGAGTAAAGTTTTCTGCACATCTCTAAAAGACTAACTTCCTTAGAGGCGTGATCTCGGATCACTGCAACCTCCGCCTCTCGGGTTCAGGCAATTCTCCTGCCTCAGCCTCCCGAGTAGCTGGGACTACAGGTGTGTGCCACCATGCCCAGCTAATTTTTGTATTTTTAGTAGATATGGGGTTTCACCATGTTGGCCAGGGTGGTCTCGATCTCTTGACCTCGTGATCCGCCCGCCTCGGCCTCCCAAAGTGCTGCGATTACTAGGCCTGAGCCCCGCGCCAGGCCTAGCATATTACCTCTAATGCAAATCGCACCACCGTCCCGCAGGCTGAAAGACGGTGCACTCAGGACAAAAGTCCCCGCTTCTTAAACAAACAGTCGACCTCGTCCGCGACCTGGCCCGGCCCGACGGGTCTCAGCTGTAGTCCCGGCGCTCCAGAGCCCCTCCCGCAGCGGGCAGGAACCACGCGGATACGACAGGACCTTACCAGGCGCGCCCACGGCGTCCGAGACCCGCCCAGGCGCGCCCACGGCGTCCGAGACCCGCCCAGGCGCGCCCACGGCGTCCGAGACCCGCCCAGGCGCTGACGCAAACCGGAGAGCCAGGCCCGGCAGTCTCTGGTCCTGCCAATCTCAGGGAGTGGCGGGATCCGTCTGAAGGCTTGGACCAATTCGGGAGCGGGGGCGGGGCAGGAGGCGGGACTACAAGCCTCTCTCGGAGCGCGAGCTTCCAGGCTCCCCGGATCCAGCGCGGCCGCTCCTCACACCCGCGACCCCGCAGCCAAACGCAGCTCTTGGTGCCATGGACCCGGCGCTGGCCGCCCAGATGAGCGAGGCTGTGGCCGAGAAGATGCTCCAGTACCGGCGAGACACAGCAGGCTGGAAGATTTGCCGGGAAGGCGTGAGTGAGGAGCTGGGCGGGAAGGGGTCGTGGAGACTGCTTCGTGGGGCCCGGTTCCCCAGAAGCCCCCCAACCGCCTCTTCTCCCCGTTGTTTTCTGCACCCCAATCCCCTGGACCCGACTGAAAGGGATTCCAACAGGGAATGCTTTTTTTGAAAAAAAAAAAAAAAAAAAAAAAGATTGGGCCTGTTAGGCTCACAGTGACCTCAGGTGGTAAGTATCTGTTCCTTTGACTCAGTGACTTGCCCAAGGTCAAAACTCGCTGATGAATGGTGTTTAGGACTGGAACCCGGAACACCTGCCTCTAAAGCCGTTACCTTGTTCATTACAGCACGAGCCCCTCTCTTTGTCCATGCCAGAGCACGGGAGTAGTTTTGCTTACTTGACACTTCTGACTTTTAACAAGTAGCCCTGGGTTGCTCAAGGAAACAAAATGCATGGTGGCTTTTAAGAGAATTTGAAAACCACCCACGGCTCTTGAAATCAGCCAGTTAAGATCTTTTTCTTCATTACGTTCTGCTGTGGGGTCAGCTTTGCCCAGGATTAGTTCCAGCTTTTCCACGTGTGGGTTGCGCAGCTTGGAGTCGAATCTTTTGAGGCCTCTGAGCCCTCTTCTGTAGAACAGGGGACTAAGCCAGGTGACCAGAGCCCTTCTAGCTCTAAAATTCTGTGGTTCTGTGCCTTTTGACAGAATGGAGTTTCAGTTTCCTGGAGGCCATCTGTGGAGTTTCCAGGGAACCTGTAAGTGCATGCCTCGTTCAAAGCTTATCAGAGATGCCGCAGCCTTCCTGGTATCTTTATGGGTTTGCCTCCTAAAATATTCAAATCAATCCTTCAACCCTGTGATCATTTGTCCTCCAGAAGTCTTACTGTTTCTAATGAAATCACTTCCAGCAAAGCGTATTCTTGTGGAAATTTAACGTCCATTTCTGAAGGCCAGAAGGGAGGTGGGGCTAATAAGTTTCAGTCTCTTCCCTGCAAGCCTGTCCTAAAGAGCAGTGACAGACTTCTAGTGCTTACATGCAATCCCAACATAAACAAGTTTATTGATGCTTTGGGGTGTAATTCCTTTTTGTGCTCCAGGTACCGAGGAGAAGGCATTGTATTTGGGACACCAGAGGAGGTGTGGGACTGTGTGAAGCCGGCTGTTGGGGGCCTGCGAGTGAAGTGGGATGAGAATGTGAATGGTTTTGAAATTATCGAAAGCATCACTGATGTAAGTCTTTCCAAGCATGTTATCTCTAGATAGTGTCTGGGCCCTGCTACAGTAACCACCTCCCATTTCTTCTGGAAGGGTCCATGATACAATAACCTCCTCTCATTTCTTCAGGAAGGGTCCATGATACAATAACCTCCTCCCATTTCTTCTGGAAGGGTCCATGATACAATAACCTCCTCCCATTTCTTCTGGAAGGGGTCCATGATACCTTTTGGCGATGAGGTATGTGCTGCAAACACAGGCTGCCCACTGCTTGCAGCATTGGATACCTGCCTCAGCCCAGGTGTAGGTGGGAAGCCTCATGACTCAGAGGCAGAGAAGCCATAAACAGAGCCAAAATGAGATGACAGCAGCAGTGAATGAAGATGTGTCAAGTGCACATGGGCTCTGAGGGTACTGAGGTGGTGCCTGGATTCAGCCTGTCAGCTCTTGTTTGAAATGCTGCCCCTTGATGGCGACATAAGAATGAATTGAGAGAGCCCCGGTGGGGGAGTCAGGGTTCTTTGCCAGCTGGGGGTTGTTCTAGGTGGCAGTTTCTGGATTAGTTTCTTCGCTGGCAAAATGTGTGTCAGCTGGACTAGCCCTGTCCAGAACTTTCTGATGGTGGCCACAGAGCATTTGAAGGTGGCTAGTTTAAGGACATGAATTGTTTTGTTTAATTTTAATTAGACGAAATGTAGATTTAAATAGCCACGTGGAGCCGTCAGCTACTGTATTAGGCAGTATGGATCTAAATGAGCCTGCCCTGGTGGTGGTCTCTGTAGCTTTAAGATCCCCACCTCATGTTGATTACAGAAGTTCGTATGAAAAAAAAGTCATAGCCAAAACTAATGAGAAAGTTGCCTTGGGGAAAAGCTGCTGACCTGTTCAGTTTGAATGGTGTCTTGATTTTGACATCTGTGGACTAGCACCCTCTGGGGTGTTCACGGAGATTGTGTTGTGAAACCCCATGCAACTGATGAACCCAAATCTGAATCTGTAAGAGCCAGGTGTTCTTACCCTTGACCAAGAATTCACATTTCGGTTCATTCCCAGTTGATTATCCCAGGAGTTTATGTCACTGTTTCCTGAAGAAACATCAAAGGTGAGTTTAGGTCCTTAATGGTCAAAGCTGACATTGAATCACTTAGTGAGGAGACTTCGGTGTTTCAGTCCTTCTTTAATCTCTCTGATAACTTGAAGGGGAGAGTCTCAGGTGCTGATAATCCTTTGTCAACTGATTAACACTTGCTAATCTCGTTTATATAAAATAAGCAGCTGGCCTCAGGCTCAAAATTAGAATCTAATAATCATCGTGTAGATATTTTGCAGTCGCCTTTAATTTACGGCAAGTGATGCACTTTTTTTCATTTCTGTAAATAGCTTCACGTTAAAACCAGCTTATCTATAAGTTGTAAAAAGTGAGCCCATTTAGAGAACAGTATTAAGTGAACAACAGGATGGGGGATACTGGAGAGAGTAACAAAAAAGGAGGTAGTATGCAAATAATTATACACAAATGATTGAAGTTGAGGAAACATGGGTTAATGCCCTTAAAAATGCAGTAACGAGACTGTATGCAGAACTTTCTGCTTGAACTTAAAAATGGCTACTTTTTTTTTTTTTTTTCTCTAGCCTTTGAGACAGAGTCTTACTCTTGTTGCCCAGGCTGGAGTGCAGTGTGCGATCTTGGCTCACTGCAACCTCTGCCTTCTGGGTTCAAGAGACTCTCCTGCCTCAGCCTCCTGAGTAGCTGGGACTACAGGTGCTAATTTTTTTTTTTTGTATTTTTAGTAGAGATAGGGGTTCCCCATGCTGGCCAGGCTGGTCTCGAACTCCTGACCTCACAGGTGATCTGCCCACTTCGGCCTCCCAAAGTGCTGGGATTACAGGCGTGAGCCACCTTGCTGGGCCAACTGCCTACATCTTTTTTAGTATGTTTACACTAGTCTCGACACAGTGGCTGGGGGGCCATGAAAGAGAATGAAAGACTAGAAAGTAACATGATACCTGAGCTATCATAGTAATGATTAAATGATAAGCACTGTCATTTACGGAGTCCTTATACTGTGTTCCAAGTTTGGACCCCTGCAACTGAAACCCTAAAGGAAGGTAACAGTTTGGCAGGTAAAGAGCTGTACCAGATGTGCCCAGGCTCACAAGGTAACACGTGCCAGAGTAGGAGTTGAGAGCCAGCTGGTGACCAACTCTCTAGACTCCCATGCTTGGAGGTGCCACCTCTGCCTTCACCCCAGCTTAATTTCTGGGTCCTTGTGACCTGATTGCTCAGAGGCTCCACAAGACAAGTGATATGGTTTCATCATTGTTACTTTGCAGCCACTTCCCGTTCCCCGGGTTGGCAGGACCACAGAGAAGTGGGTGTTCGCCTGTGCTAAATTCTACTTTGTGCCAGCTGAGCTTGCCCCTTTCATCAGTTTGCCTGTGGGATTGGGTCAGTGAAGCTGGTAGGCTCTCCCTCCTTCTCTGGGCACCCTGATTTGTCTTTGGGGGAGCGTGCCTGTTCATTGTGTGGGGCTGCTGTACTAGACGACACAGGACCCTTAGCCCCTGGCACCCACTTCCCTGAAGCCTGGACCAGTAGCAGCCCCATGTACTTGCCTGACTCCAGTTTTCTCTGGTATGAGGGTCTTCACCCTTTTTGCTTACATACTTCGACAGATTTTTGAGAAATTATACATCATCCTCAGACATCTAGTTGACATTTATTAATAACATTTGGTTGACAACTAAATTTTCATAAGTTGCAAAGTGTGTCATTTTTGACATGCAGTAAATCTCAATTATGAACAAAGTAAAACTATTTTTGTAGATGTATCTAAATATATACATTTTTATTTACTGTTATCCATTTTTAAAATACACAAGCAACATTTTTTAAATAGTCAGAAATTGTGTATAACTGTTTTCTTGGAACTCCAATTTCTGTTCCATGTAGCCCTCTGAATTTCACCCTAATATAATACATGTTTGTTCTTGGAAGTCATCATCTTGCATCATAAATATGCATAGAGATGGAAATTTTTAAAATTATGTATTTCCTGTAATCATGAGACTGATTAGCTTTTTAAAAATCTGAATTGAGGTATGAGTGTAATTCATTTAAATAACATGATTATATTATAAATTCTGATAAATGTGAAAAGTAAAACATTTTGCATCTTTGGATAAGATGAATGGGAGCTCATTTTTCTAGTTAACTCATAAGTCCATGAAAAGATATGAACTTTTCAATAGACAGCTGCAAAGTAGAGGGGAAGCACAGGCTATTGGTGAGCTCCAGTTTACAAAAAAGTGGAGAATTGCCAAGTAATAGCCCTTTATCATTTAGTGAAGCAATGAAAATGTGGAGAAAGGGCTCTTCCTAGCCGGGCGCGGTGGCTCAAGCCTGTAATCCCAGCACTTTGGGAGGCCGAGGCGGGTGGATCACGAGGTCAAGAGATCGAGACCATCCTGGTCAACATGGTGAAACCCCGTCTCTACTAAAAATTACAAAAATTAGCTGGGCATGGTGGCGTGTGCCTGTAATCCCAGTTAGGAGGCTGAGGCAGGAGAATTGCCTGAACCCAGGAAGGCGGAGGTTGCAGTGAGCCGAGATCGCGCCATTGCACTCCAGCCTGGGTAACAAGAGCGAAACTCCGTCTCCAAAAAAAAAAAAAAAAAGAAAGGGCTCTTCCTTAGAGATTGGCATTTCTCAGCATGATTTTGGCAACTCCCAAATATCCTAATTATAAAATAGATAGATGATGGATAGCTAGGTGGATGGATGGATAGGACACAGGGCCGTGCCATGAGTGTGTTGGGTTTATGACATGTGCTACTGTTGTCTTCAAAATTTGTTTCCAAAGTCCTTCTCACCTTGGTTTCCAGATACTGTACCTCAGGAATGATGCATTTGGGGACAGTCATCAGAGGTGGAAACAGTATAATTTTTTTTTCAAATTTTTCATCACTTCTACCATTACTGTTACAAAATATCAAAATATAGAAATGGCAAAATTGCCTTGTTTCTGACACCAACTTTTGGAATATGCTTAAGAAAGGGGAAAACATGAAATTCTAACACCAGAGTGTAGTGCCTTGATTAAATATTGCAGCCAGCACTCCCCATTGTCCCTTTGCCACCCTGGAGGATTTTATGCGGTGGGACAATTCATGATAGGATGATTCTGGATGAATGGGGCTGTGCTGTGCTTTTCTTCAAGTGGGAAAGGAGCCCTGCGTTCAGGTGCAGCCTGTTCCCAGGCAGGTCACTGGGGGAAACATGAAGGAAACATACAGTAGAGTCATCTGCAAATCCATTCCCATTGCACCCATTGAAAAGTGCTCAAGGGCCCCCAGGGATCTCATGCTCACTTGAAGATGAATTTCCTGAGGCCAAAAGTGTCCTTTCTGAAAGGTTTCTCAGCAACACGTGGTGCCCCAAGTCTTAATACCTGAGGTGAAAGGCAAAGAGGTGGAGATCCTTACCGTCCCTCTCACCTACCCTGAGACCTCCCCCAGGACAGTGCCATTGCCGGCCTGGCTTGTACTTTTCCATTGTGACCTCAAGAGAGCCTGGGCCCCACTCTCCTGCAGGATGGGATGAATGGGAGAAAGCCCAGCATCCTTGGTTTATAAAATGGGAGTGTGGACTGCTGGGGTATGCTGAGATTGAGTGAGTTTCAAGGTATTCCCTCCCAGGGTTGGGACCGTGGTGAATTGAACAGTTGCTCCAGGCATAGCATAGGAGGCTGAGCAAGTGCAGGGTTAGCTCTGAAAAGGAGTGGCCTCTCTTGCCTCTTCCTAGCCCTGGCCCTGTTCAAATCCCATCTCCACCATGAGCTTCCTGCTAAGTTCCTTAGTCTCTCCAAGTCTCAGTTTCCTCACCAGTAGGAAGGATTAATGATACCTATTTTCTTTTTTTTTTTTTTTTTTGTGAGACAGAGTCTTGCTCTTTCGCCCAGGCTGGAGTACAATAGCACGATCTCAGCTCACTACACCCTCAGCTTCCCAGGTTCCAGCGACTCTCCTGCCTCAGCCTCCTGGGCAGCTGCGGTTACAGGCGCACGTCACCGTGCCCAGCTAATTTTTGTGTTTTTAGTAGAGACAGGGTTTTGCCATGTTGGCCAGACTGGTCTCAAACTCCTGACCTCAGGTGATCCACCCACCTCAGCCTCCTAAAGTGCTGGGAAGACAGGCGTCAGCCACCATGCCCGGCCTAATGATAGCTATTTCTAAAGGTTAAGGGACAACTGAGAGCTTTGTCCAGCCAGACTCTTACTAGGTGCTCAATAAATGGCACCTCTTATGGTCACTTGTGAGACATGACCTCGGCATGGCACTTGTCTGCAGCTAGATAGCTGTGGGCAGCCTGTGTCACAACTCTCATCCTGTAAACTGGGTATATTTCCATGACACTCAGCTCCTGGGAAGACTTGATCTGGATCTTAACTGTTTATAATGCCTGGAATACTGACAGTCCTGGTACCTTTCCCAGACCTTGAGGGGGTGAGGTGGGAGTTGGGAGATGTCTGGCCAGCAGTCACAGCTGCGTGCTGCTTACTATTATTTATAGTGCCTGTACTACTGACAGTGACAGTGCCTACTGTCAATCCTGATACCTTTCCCAGCCCTTGAGGGGGTGGGGTGGGAGTTGGAGAAAATGTCTGGCCAGCAGTCACAGCTGCATGCTTCTCTGGTTTGGCAGACCCTGTGCGTAAGCAGAACTTCCACCCCCTCGGCTGCCATGAAGCTCATTTCTCCTAGAGACTTTGTGGACTTGGTGCTAATCAAGAGATATGAGGATGGGACCATCAGTTCCAATGGTGAGTGATGCCCAGAGGAGCTGCCACACCTTCCCGTGATGCTGGGTTTTCTCTTCTGCACCCTTTAGTTCCTCAAGGAAAGCCAAGCAACCAGAAGTCACCAGAAATTCACACTCTGAGTCCCCTACCTCGCCTGGTCGGGTTTGGGAGGATTCAGGGCCATGGGGGTCTGAGGCAAGACAGTCCACATGCCAGTAATTTTATTAAGTCACGGTTTTGCCAGTGCCCCTTTTTATTTCTGCCATGCTCATGGTGTGTCCTGTAGACATGTGGGTTAGTTGGACGGCAAACAACCTGTGCAGAATCCAGGGCTGTGTCGTCTTGAGGGTTTTGGTGCTGTCTACTTCCTTAACACCCAGCGAGGGGCAGAACTCCTGCCTCTGCACAGCCCCTACCATTCCTCCAATTCTTCTACGTGGGAGAGTTGATGGATGCATCCATGCCTCTCCTGGATGAGATCTGAGAGAGGCACCTACCTCCTCCCACTGCCAGACCTTGTGTTCTAGAATGTTCTTTTCTCTGACACTTGGCAAACTTGAGAAAGCCGTGTGCATGTTTATGCATGAATGTGTATGAATATGCGTGAGTGCAAGTGTGTGTGCATGTGTGAATTTGTGTACACGCATGTGAGTGTATTTGTGTGTGTGAGCGTAAAGGGCATTAGGGTGGGAGTAGTGAGAACTCGAGCCAAGAGGCAGGAGTCCCTCACGGATCCTGGGCTGCAGGTAGTCACTTCTTTGTGCTCTATGGCACCCGAGGGGAGGTGGCCCGTCTGAAGTTGTAACTCGCCGTCTGCACTGTCTTCCAGCCAGCCATGTGGAACATCCGTTATGCCCCCCGAAGCCAGGCTTTGTGAGAGGATTTAACCATCCTTGTGGTTGCTTCTGTGAACCTCTTCCAGGGTAAGGTTAATTTCCTGCATTGAGGTACACGGCTCGGATCTGACTGTGGCTTCCCTGTGGACCTTCTGTGAAAAGGAGCACTTTGATCATGATTCATTAGAAGAAAAATGCCTTACAGCTCTTTAGATTGTGACAATACAAAATGCTTTCACACACGTCTGTGACATCATACATGAAAGTACCTGGTACACGGGGAAGAATTGAGGGGGGCGTTACTCTTACTATTTTTGATGCAGAAAATTTTCCCTGCAGCCTACAGCTTAGGTCAATGTAATGGTCCATTTAGCAAATGAGGACATTGAGGTTTGGGGAGGTTAAGTGATGTGTGTGGAGTCAAAGGCTAGGAGGTTGGCAGGGCAGGACCTGTGCTCTGAGACCTCCCTGAGCACCCCCAGCCAGCCAGGAGCAGCTTTGAGGATAGCTGTCCCCACCCCACATTTCACACAGCGATCATTTCTCTTCAGTGACAAATGTGGCAGCGCTCAGGCCTAATGGGCAGTGCTGAGACCACACTGTAATCAGCCTCAGAATCAAGCCCAGGCACCCTCTGTTCCCATTTTGCCACAGGTCATGGTCAGGCTCTTACCAGGAATTTTCCATGTAATGAATTACCTGAAGGTTTCTAGTTTATCCTGCAAGTTGACAGCAAAATAAATTGCACCTCGCAGGTGTGTCCCAGTGTTCCTGCATTCTCCGTATGGATGCCTGGAGGGAAGGGGTCTGGGCCTCGACCACATTGTCCCGGGAGGGTGGACCTTGGTGCTATGGAATTTTACCAAATCCAGACCTAGCAAGGTTATGTTACCCTCTTTGCTAAGCTGGCTTTTCAGATATCATGTGAGGTCTTTTCTTAGACGTAACAAAATTTTGAGCTTGAAAATAGCAGTGTGCCCTACCACACGCATATACACACGTGCGTTCAGTTTCAGTTTCCCCGATAGGTAGGTGCCCTGGATCCCTGCCCTGAGCTCATTCCCTTGTCCTCTCCCTCCTGGTAGTCAGAAGCTAAGATTCACCTTTCTATGGTGCCAGGTCTGACAGAGAGGAATTTTCAGAATAAGAGGCAGAGCCCTTTCTTCTTAGGGGCTGAATCCCATTGCTGTCTTCTTTTGGTTGGAATCCTTCATGCCAGGTAGCAAAGGTATCACATGGATTCTGTTTTTTGTTTTTGTTTTTTTTTTGAGACACAGTTTTGCTGTCACCCAGGCTGGAGTGCAGTGGCGTAATCTCGACTCACTGCAACCTCTGCCTCCCAGGCTTAAGCAATTCTCCTGCCTCAGCCACCCAAGTAGCTGGGATTACAGGTACCTGCCACCATACCTGGCAATTTTTTTTGTATTTTTAGTAGATCCAGGGTTCCACCATGTTGGCCAGGCTGGTCTCAAACTCCTGACCTCAAATGATCCCCCTGCCATGGCCTCCCATATTGCTGTGATTACAAGTGTGAGCCACCCTGCCTGGCCTGATTGCATGGATTTTGCTGATAGGGTGGTTGGGGATCCCACAAAACCCTGCCAGTGTGAGGGTTTTAACTCAAGAGTTGACTCTTCCACCTCCTGTCCACTTGATTAAAAACATTGTGTGTTCTTAGTAAAGCTTCCTTCCAGAGCCTGCTGCATGCAGCTATTCTCATGAGGCTGTGGATCTGAAATCTGTGACAATGACGATTCACTCCTATTCTGTGAAGATAGACCTGTTCTGCACACTGGACTCGGCAGACAGTAATCACAGCAGCAGCAGCAAACACTTAAACAGCACCACTGTGTGTCAGCCACTATTCTAAGCACTTTATATCAATTATATTATTTATATATTTATATCAATTATATCAATTTATAACAACCCTAAGCCATTGTTATCCTTATTTTTAAGGTAAGAATGGTGGGTGCACAGAGAGGTTTAGTAACTTACCCAAGATCACATAGCCAGCAAATAAGGTGGCCACAGCCTAAGTCTGGCCATCTGGCTCCAGAATCTGGGCTCTTAACCTGGATATTGATGTCTCAACAGCTAGAGTGTCTGCCTTCTTGGATCTTAGATTCCAATGAAGCAGGAGGAGACAGACAAAACACAAATTTAAGTAGTTCTATCTCATGGATGCTCTCTTAAGTATCAGATGTTAAGTGCCTTGGGGAAAACCGAAGCCAGATAAAGGTGCCAGGGAAAGGTGTGAGTGGGTCATCTGGGGGTTTCCCTAATAAGACTTTTGAGCAAAGCACAAATGCAGGGAGTCTTGGGCGTGCTGGTGGAGTGAGCATGGCAGGGAGGTGAGCAGATGCAAAGTCCCAGAAGTGGGAGCAGGAGCCGGGGCAAGAGCAGGGCCTTTAAGGAACAGCACAGAGGGAGGTGATGTGTTAACGAGGGGTGCGGCTGGGACATTCGGCCTTTGAGCACTTTCTTCTGAATAAAAGGGGAGGCCACGGGGGAGGCCTGAGCAGGGCATCCTCTGACTTTGGTATTAACTGCAGTGACACATCTAGAATGGAAGAGGCTGTGAGCAGGGAAAGGAGAGGACTCATCGGGTGGTGAGGTGGTGGTAGTGGTATTGAGGCCAGAGATAGTGGTGGCTATGCTCCAAGTGTCTGCAGTGGGCGGGGGAGAGGTGCTCTCAAGGTGGAGGAGCCTGTATTTGTGGTCGAAGCAGCATGACTGCCATTTATGGAGCACTTGCTCTGTGCACAGAAGGATGCTAAGTGTACTTCACACCTCCTTTCATTAAATCCTTCTAGCAACCATAGTGGATGCCTTCATCCCAGCGTTTTCTGCAGGGAGACTGAGTGACCTACAGCTCTTCTGTGCCCCCTTTTGCCCTTTCTGTTGTTGTCACATAATGGTGTACGTGCAAGAGCCACCACTCCCCAAAGCCACTGTGATGAAGAGAGTTTGTCCCATCCCACGCAGCCTCTCACATAGTCCACCCACCACAAAGCCCAGTCTCCACCCAGAGGGAAACATGATCACGGAGTCTCAGTTCTCACTCACCTGTTCATGTTTCCAAAGAGGATGCTGCTCAGAGGTGACAGGGGCTGGAGGGGGAGCAGGGAGGAAGAGAAGGCCCTAGCAAAGGTGGATGGGCAGGGTTTGGTGGGTGAGGGAGAGGGTAGAGTGCAGAGCATGCTGAGGCTGTAAGGTAGAAGGAAGTCCCTGTCCCCTGGAGTTTACCCTCTGGGGAAGCAGGGCACGAGCAGAGGAGAAAAGCCACAGCCCAGAGGAGCACACGCTCTCACCCCTGTGGATCTGCTGGCCCCAGCCTGCTCCAGCCTTGGTCCTTCTGTATGACTTGGGGAATAGGATATTTTTTTTTTTTTTTTTTTTTTTTTTTTTTTTTTTTTTGAGATGCAATTTCGCTTTTGTCGCCTAGGCCAGAGAGCACTGATGGGATCTTGGCTCACTGCAACTTCCACCTCCTAGGTTCAAGCAAGTCTCCTGCCTCAGCCTCCCGAGTGGCTGGGATTACAGGCGCCAGACACCATGCCCCACGAATTTTTCTCTGTTTAGTAGAGATGGGCTTTCACCATGTTACCCAGGCTGGTCTCTAACTCCTGACCTCAGGTGATCTACCTGACTCCACCTCCCAAAGTGCTGGGATTACAGGCGTGTGCCACCTTACTCTGCCCTGGGGAGTGGGATTCTAAAAGGTCTCCAATTCCAAACCTGTAGCCTGCATGATGTCAGGAAACTGATGGGCAGCACAGTGCTACCTGGGGTTCCTGGAGAGGCTGAGGCTGTGGACAGCTGCATTTCTGATGGGCAGGCACAGTGCTACCTGGGGTCCCTGGTGAGGCTGAGGCTGTGGACAGTTGAGAGGGGAAGGTACAGTGCTACCTGGGGTTCCTGGTGAGACTGAGGCTGTGGACAGTTGCATTTCTGATCAGCCGGCATAGTGCTACCTGGCATTGCTGGTTAGGCTGAGGCTGTGGACAGTTGCATTTCTGATGGGCAGGCATGGTGCCACCTGGGGTTCCTGGTGAGGCTGCGGCTGTGGCCATTTGTATTTCTGATGGGCAGGCACAGTGCTATCTGGGGTTCCTGGTGAGGTAGGAGCTGTGGATATTTGCATTTCCGATGGGCAGGCACAGCCCTACCTGGGTATCCTGGTGAGCGTGAGGCTGTGGACAGTTGCATTTCTGATGGACAGGCAGAGCGCTACCTGGGGTTCCTGGTGAGGCTGAGGCTGTGGACAGTTGAGATGGGCAGGCACAGTGCTACCTGGGATTCCTGGTAAGGCTGAGGCTGTGGACAGTTGAGATGGGCAGGCACAGTGTTACCTGAGGTCCCTGGTGAGGCTGAGGCTATGGATAGTTGAGATGGGCAGGCACAGTGCTACCTGGGGTTTCTGGTGAGGATCAGGCTGTGGACAGCTGCATTTCTGATGGGCAGGCACAGCAGTACCTGGGTTTTCCGTTGAGGCTGTGGCTGTGGACAGTTGCATTTCTGATGGGTAGGCGCAGTCCTACCTGGGGTCCCTGGTAAGGCTGTGGCTGTGAACAGTTGAGATGGGCAGGCACAGTGCTACCTGGGGTCCCTAGTGAGGCTGAGGCTGTGGACACCTGCATTCCTGATGGGCAGGCACAGCGCTACCTGGGGTTTCTCGTGAGGCTGAGGCTGTGGACACCTGCATTTCTGATGGGCAGAAACAGTGCTACCTTGGGTCCCTGGTGAGCCCGAGTGTGTGGACAGTTTAGATGGGCAAACGTAGTGCTACCTGGGGTCCTTGGTGAGGCTGAGGCTTTGGACAGTTCAGACGGACAGACACAGTGTTACCTGGGGTCCCTTGTGAGGCTGAGCCTGTGGACAGTAGAGATGGGCCGGCACAGTGCCACCTGGGGTTCTTGATGAGGCTGAGGCTGTAGACAGTTACATTTCTGATGGGCAGGCACAGTGTGCTACCTGGTGTTCTTGGTGAGATTGAGGTTGTGGACAGCTGCATTTCTGATGGGCAGTCATAGCACTGCCTGGGGTCCCTGGTGAGGCTGAGGCTGTGGACAGTTGAGATGGGCAGACTCAGTGCTACCTGGGGTTCCTGGTGAGGCTGAGGCTGTGGATAGCTGCATTTCTGATGGGCAGGCACATGCTATCTGCGGTCCCTGGTGATGCTGTGTGTGTGTACAGTTTAGATGGGCAGGCACAGAGCTACCTGGGGTCCCTGGTGAGGCTGAGGCTGTGGACAGTTTAGATGGGCAGGCATAGTGCTACACGGGGTCCCTGGTGAGGCTGAGGCTGTGGACAGTTGGATTTCTGATCGGCAAGCATAGTGCTACTTTGGGTCCCTGGTGAGGCTTATGCTGTGGACAGGTGCATTTCTAATAGGCAGGTATAGTGCTACCGGCGATTCCTGTTGAGGCTGAGGCTGTGTACAGCAGCATTTCTGATGGGCAGGCACAGCGCTACCTAGGGTTCCTGGTGAGGCTGGGACGGTGGACAGGTGCATTTCTGATGGGCAGGCACAGCGGTACCAGGGGTTCCTGGTAAGGGTGAGGCTGTGGACAGTTGCATTTCTGATGGGCGGACAGAGCACTACCTGGGGTTCCTAGTGAGGCTGAGGCTGAGGACAGCTGCATTTCCAGTGGGCAGGCACAGCGCTACCTGGGTTTCCTGTTGGGGCTGAGGCTGTGGACAGTCTAGATGGGCAGCCACAGTGCTACCTGGGGTCCTGGTGAGGCTGAGGCTGTGGACAGCTGCATTTCTGATGGGCAGGCATAGTGCTGCTTGGGGTCCCTGGTGAGGCGGAGGCGGTGGACAGTTCAGATGGGTAGGCACAGTGCTACCTGGGCTTCCTGGTGAGGCTGAGGCTGTGGACAGTTGCATTTCTGATGGGCAGGCACAGCGCTACCTGGCGTTCCTGGTGAGGCTGAAGTTGTGGACAGTTGAGATGGGCCGGCTGAGTGCTACCTGGGGTCCCTGGTGAGGCTGAGGCTGTGGACAGTTGAGATGGGCAGGCATGGTGCTATCCGGGGTCCCTGGTGGGGCTGAGGCTGTGGATAGTTGAGATGGGCAGGCTGAGTGCTACCCGGGGTCCCTAGTGAGTCTGAGGCTGTGGACAGTTTAGATGGGCGGGCATAGTGCTACCTCGGGTTCCTAGTGAGGCTTATGCTGTGGACAGGTGCATTTCTGATGGGCAGGGACAGTGCTACCTGGGTTTCCTGGTGAGGCTGAGGCTGTGGACAGCGGCATTTCTGATGGGCAGGCACAGCGCTACCTGTGGTTCCTCCTGAGGTTGAGGCTGTGGACAGCTGCGTTTCTGATGGGCAGGCACGGTGCTACCTGGCATCCCTGGTTAGGCTGAGGCTGTGGACAGTTTAGATGGGCAGGCACAGTTCTACCTGGGGTTCCTGGTGAGGCTCAGGACATGGACAGTTGCATTTCTGATAGGCAGGCACTACGCTACTTGGCATTCCTGGTGAGGTTGAGTTTGTGGACAGCTGCATTTCTGATGGGCAGGCATAGTGCTGCCTGGGTTCCCTGGTGAGTCTGAGGCTGTGGACAGTTGAGATGGGCAGGCACTGTGCCATCTGAGGTTTCTGGTGAGGCTGAGGCTGTGGACTGCTGCATTTCTGAAGGGTAGGCACAGTGCTACCTTCAGTTCCTGGTGAGGCTGAGGCTGTGGACAGTTGAGATGGGCAGGCACAGTGCTCCCTGGGGTTCCTGGTGAGGCTGAGGCTGTGGACAGTTGCATTTCTGATGGGCAGGTACAGTGCCACCTGGGATTCCTGGTGAGACTGAGGCTGTGGACAGTTGCATTTCTGGTGGGCAGGGACAGCCCTACCTGGGGATCCTACTGAGCATGAGGCTGTGGACAGTTGCATTTCTTATGGGCAGGTAGAGCGCTACCTGCAGTTCTTGGTGAGGCTGAGGCTGAGGACAGCTGCATTTCTGATGGGCAGGCACAGCACTACCGGGGTTTCCTGTTGAGGCTGAGGCTGTGGACAGTGAGATGGGCAGGCACTGTGCTACCTGGGGTTCCTGGTGAGGCTGAGCCTGTGGACATTTGAGATGGGCAGGCACTGTGCTACCTGGGGTTCCTGGTGAGGCTGAGGCTGTGGACATTTGAGATGGGCATGCACAGCACTTCCTGAGGTCCCTGGTAAGGCTGAGGCTGTGGACAGTTGTATTTCTGATGGACAGGCGCAGCGCTGTCTGGGGTTCTTGGTGAGGCTCAGGGCTTGGACAGACAGCTGCATTTCTGATGGGCAGGCATAGTGCTACCTGGGTTCCTGGTGAGGCTGAGGCTGTAGACAGATGCTTTTCTGATGGGCAGGCACAGCGTTACCTGTGGTTCCTGGTGAGGCTGAGGCTGCGGCTGCGGACAGCTGCATTTCTGATGGGCAGGCCTAGTGCTTCCTGGGGTCTCTGGTGATGCTGAGGGTATGGACAGTTGAGATGGCCAGGCATAGTGGTACCTGGGGTCACTGGTGAGGCTGAGGCTGTGGACAGTTTAGATGGGCAGGCACAGTGCTACCTGGAGTTCCTGGCGAGGCTCAGGTTATGGAAATTTGCATTTCTGGTAGGCAGGCACAACGCTACATGGCGTTCCTGGTGAGGTTGAGTTTGTGGACAGCTGCATTTCTGATGGGCAGGCACAGCTCTACCTGGGGATCCTGGTGAGGGTGAGGCTGTGGACACTTGCATTTCTTATGGGCAGGCAGAGCGGCTACCTGCAGTTCCTGGTGAGGCTGAGGCTGAGGACAGCTGCATTTTTGATGGGCCGGCACAGCGCTACCTGGGGTTCCTGGTGAGGCTGAGGCTGTGGACAGTGAGATGGGCAGGCACAGCGCTTCCTGGGGTTCCTGGTGAGGCTGAGGCTGTGGACATTTGAGATAGGCTGGCACAGTGCTTCCTGGGGTTCCTGGTAAGGCTGATGCTGTGGACAGTTGAGATGGGCAGGCACAGTGCTTCCTGGGGCTCCTGGTAAGGCCGAGGCTGTGGACAGTTGTATTTCTGATAGGCAGGCACAGCAATACCTGCGTTTTCTGGTGAGGCCGTGGCTGTGGACAGTTGCATTTCCATGGGCAGGCACAGCGCTACCTGGGGTTCCTGGTGAGGCTGAGGCTGTAGACAGTTGAGATGGGCAGGCACAGTGCTACCTGGGGTCCCTGGTGAGGCTAAGGCTGTGGACAGGTGCATTGCTGATGGGCAGGCGCTGTGCTACCTGGGGTTCCTGGTGAGGCTGAGGCTGTGGACAGCTGCATTTCTGATGGCAGGAACAGCACTACCTGGGGTTTCTGGTGAGGCTGAGGCTGTGGACAGTTGAGATGGGCAGACACAGTGCTACTTGGGGTCCCTGGTGAGGCTGAGGCTGTGGACAGTTGTATTTCTGATGGGCAGGCACAGTGCAACCTGGAGTCCCTGGTGAGGCTGAGGTTCTGGACAGTTGCATTTCTGATGGGCAGGCACAGCGCTACCTGCGGTTTCTCGTGAGGCTGAGGCTGTGGACACCTGCATTTCTGATGGGCAGAAACAGTGCTACCTTGGGTCCCTGGTGAGCTTGAGTGTGTGGACAGTTTAGATGGGCAGGCGTAGAGCTACCTGGCATCCTTGGTGAGGCTGACGCTTTGGACAGTTCAGATGGACAGCCACAGTGTTACCTGGGGTCCCTTGTGAGGCTGAGGCTGTGGACAGTAGAGATGGGCAGCCACAGTGCTACCTGGGGTTCCTGGTGAGGCTGAGGCTGTGGACAGTTGCATTTCTGGTGGGGGCAGGCACAGTGGTACCTGGGGTTCTTGGTGAGATTGACGTTGTGGACAGCTGCATTTCTGATGGGCAGTCATAGTGCTGCCTGAGGTCCCTTGTGAGGCTGAGGCTGTGGACAGTTGCATTTCTGATGGGCAGGCACAGTGGTACTTGGGGTTCCTGGTAAGGGTGAGGCTGTGGACAGTTACATTTCTGATGGGCAGACAGAACGCTACCTGGGGTTCCTGGTGAGGCTGAGGCTGTGGACAGTAGAGATGGGCAGCCACAGTGCTACTTGGGGTTCCTGGTGAGGCTGAGGCTGTGGACAGTTGCATTTCTGATGGGCAGGCACAGCGCTACCTGGTGTTCTTGGTGAGATTGAGGTTGTGGACAGCTGCATTTCTGATGGGCAGTCATAGTGCTGCCTGGGGTCCCTGGTGAGGCTGAGGCTGAGGCTGAGGACAGCTGCATTCCTGATGGGCAGATAGAGCGCTACCTGGGGTTCCTGGTGAGGCTGAGGCTGAGGACAGCTGCATTTCTGATGGGCAGGCACAGTGCCACCTGGGTTTCCTGTTGGGGCTGAGGCTGTGGACAGTTTAGATGGGCAGCCACAGTGCCACCTGGGGTTCTGGTGAGGCTGGGGCTGTGGACAGCTGCATTTCTGATGGGCAGGCGCAGTGCTACTTGGAGTTTCTGGTGAGGCTGAGGCTGTGGACAGTTGAGATGGGCAGGCACAGTACCACTTGGGGTTCCTGGTGAAGCTGAGGTTGTGGACAGTTGGATTTCTGAAGGGCAGGCACAGCACTACCTGGGGTTCCTGGTGATGCTGAGATTGTGGAGAGTTGACATAAGCATTCACAGTGCTGCCTAGGCTTCCTAGTGAGACGCTGGCTCTGGACAGGTGCATTTCTGAAGGGCAGGCACAGTGCTACCTGGGGTTCCTGTTGAGGCTGGGACGGTGGACAGGTGGATTTCTGATGGGCCGGCACAGCGCTACTTGTGTTTCCTGGTGAGGCTGAGGCTGTGGACAGTTGCATTTCTGATGGGCAGACACAGCCGTACCTGTGGTTTTTGGTGCTGCTGAGGCTGTGGACTGCTGCGTGTCTGATGGGCAGGCACAGGGGTACCTGGGGTCCCTGGTGAGGCTGAAGTTGTGGACATTTGAGATGGGCAGGCACAGCGCTTCCTGGGGTTCCTTTTAAGGCTGAGGCTGTGGATAGTTGTATTTCTAATGCGCAAGCACAGCAGTACCTGGGTTTTCTGTTGAGGCTGCGGCTGTGGACAGTTGAGACGGGCAGGCACAGTGGTACCTGGGGTCCCTGGTGAGGTTGAGGCTGTGGATAGTTGAGATGGGCAGACACAGTGCTATGTGGGGTTCCTGGTGAGGCTCAGGCTGTGGACAGTTGAGATGCGCAGGCACAGAGCTACCTGGGGTCCCTGGTGAGGCTGAGTCTGTGGACAGTTGAGATGGGCAGGCACAGAGCTACCTGGGGTCCCTGGTGAGGGTGAGTCTGTGGACAGTTGAGATGGGCAGGCACAGTGCTACCTCGGGTTCTTGGTGAAGCTGAGGTGGTGGAGAGTTGCATTTCTGATTGACAGGCATAGTGCTACTTCAGGTTCCTAGTGAGGCTTATGCTGTGGACAGGTGCATTTCTGAACGGCAGGCATAGTGCTACCTGGGATTCCTGGTGAGGCTGAGGCTGTGTACAGTTGCATTTCTGATGGGCAGGCACAGTGGTACCTGGGGTTCCTGGTGAGGCTGTGACTGGACAGCTGCATTTCTGATGGGCAGGCACAGCACTACCTGGGGTTCCTGGTGAGGCTGAGGATGTGGACAGCTGCATTTCTGATGGGCAGGCACAGTGGTACCTGGGGTTCCTGATGAGGCTGAGACTATGGACAGGTGCATTTCTTATGGGCAGGCACAGCGCTGCCTGGGGTTCCTGGTAAGGCTGAGGATGTGGACAGTTGTATTTCTGATGGCAGGCTCAGCAGTACCTGGGTTTTCTGGTGAGGCTGCGACTGTGGACAGTTGCATTTCTGATGGGTAGGCACAGTGCTGGCTGGGGTTCCTAGTGAGGCTTAGGCTGTGGACAGTTGCACTTCTGATGGACAGGCACAGCACTACCTGGGGTTCCTGGTGAGGCGGAGGTTGCGGACAGCTGCATTTGTGATGGGCAGGCCTAGTGCTGCCTGGGGTCTCTGGTGAGGCTGAGGCTGTGGACAGTTGTATTTCTGATGGGCAGGCACAGCAATACCTGGGTTTTCTGGTGAGGCTACGGCTGAGGATAGCTGGTTTTCTGTTGGGTAGGCACAGTGGTACCTGGGTTGGTGGTGAGGCTTGGGCTGTGGACAGCTGCATATCTGAAGGGCAGGCACAGTGCTTCCTGGGGGTTCCTGGTGAGGCTGAGGCTGTGGACATTTGAGATGGGTAGACACAGTGCTTCCTGGGGTTCCTCGTAAGGCTGAGGCTGTAGACAGTTGTATTTCTGATGGGCAGGCACAGCAATACCTGTGTTTTCTGGTGAGGCTGCGGCTGTGGACAGCTGCTTTTCTGTTGGGCAAGCACAGCGGTACCTGGGTTGGCGGTCAGGCTGAGGCTGTGGACAGCTGCATTTCTAATGTGCAGTCTGAGTGCTGCCTGGGGTCTCTGGTGAGGCTGAGGCTGTGGACAGTTAGATGGCTAGCTGGGGTCCCTGGTGAGACTGAGGCTGTGGACAGTTGTATTTCTGATGGGCAGGCACCGTGCTAGCTGGGGTTCCCCCTAAGGCTCAGGGTTTGGACGGAGAGCTGCATTTCTGATGGGTAGGCATAGTGCTACCTGGGGTTCCTGGTGAGGCTGAGGCTGTGGACAGCTGCTTTTCTGATGGGCAGGCACAGCGGTACCTGGGGTTGGTGATGAGGCTGAGGCTGTGGACAACTGCATTTCCATGTGCAGGCACAGCACTGCCTGGAGTTCCTGGTGAGGGTGAGGCTTTGGACAGTTGCATTTCTGATGGGCAGGCACAGCGTTACCTGTGGTTCCTGGTGAAGCTGAGGCTGTGGACATTTGAGATGGGCAGGCATAGTGCTACCTGGGGTTTTTGGTAAGGCCGAGGCTGTGGACATTTGAGCTGGGCAGCTGCAGTGCTACCTGGGGTTTCTGGTGAGGCTGAGGCTGTGGACATTTGAGATAGGCAGGCACAGTGCTTCCTGGGGTTCCTGGTGAGGCT